GGCCTCACATACTTACTAGCCTTGTGACCCTGGGCAAGTCACTTAACCCTGTTTGCCTCAGTTTCCTCATCTGTAAAATGAGCTGGAGAAGGAAATGGCAAACCACTCCAATATTTCTGCCAAGAAAACCCCAAATGGAGTTATGTAAAGTCAGACATGACTAAAAAAATGACTGAACTACAATAACAACAACCATCAACAAACACTTAGAATACCTACTGTGTACAAGTCGCTGGAGAAACAATGTTGTGTGAGTTCTTGCCCTCAGGGAGCTTACAAGTAAGTTAGGGAGATGAGACAAGTACATTCAAAGGATAAATAAATAATGCAAAGTAAATGCCAGATGAATGGCATAAATAATTCATTCTAGGAATTCAGAGGAGGAAAGAAAGAGAAGGCAAGAGAGGAAGGAACACTTGAACTGTCTCTTGAACAAGAGAAGAACTTAGATTAAAGGGGAGGGCATTCCTGGCCCAGTGTAGGCCTGCAGGGGGATATCAAGTATATTAATTTGGCAGTTAAGTGGCATAGTGGATTGAGTATCTGAGTTAGAATTCTGCCTCAGACACTTAATAGCTGTGTGATCCTGGGCAAGTCACTTATTATTCTTGACCTCAGTTTTTTTCATCTGCAGAATGGGGTTAATAACAGTACCATCTCACAGAGTTGTGAGGATCAAATGAGATTACATATGTAAACTGCCTTTCACACCATAAAGCATCATATAAATACTGGTCATTATTAGGAAAAAAACATGCCAGGAGTTTAGGGGAGATAGAAAACTCTGTGGTCTGGGGCGAGAGGATATAGCCAGGTATAATGAATCCTTGTGGTTTCTCCCAGGGCTTTCTCTAGAATCCCATATGGTTCTGTATATACCAACTCCCTTCCCCTCACTAACCAAGGACTTCACTAGCTTCCTGGAGACAGGTGGTGAGAGGAGAACATAGGTGGAGAAAGAAGAATGTTGGGTTCTCAGCTCCAATAGAGTTCACAGATGAATAGGTAACACGTGGTACTTCCAGGAGCAAAGGAGTTATAAGGGAGGATGTGGCCCTGGGTCATAATGTCCTAGGTCTAGTGAGAGGAGTAGGAGATAAGGCTTAAAAGGTAAACTGGGGTCAGATTGTGAAGGGCCTTGAATGGCAGGCTTAGGAATTTGGAATTCTTTAGGTGATGGGGAGTTATTAAAGATTTTTTAATAGGAGAATGACATGACCCAATTGATGTTTAGAGGAGAGCAAGCTAGTAGTGCTGTGCAGAATAGATTAGCTATAGTTCAGGCATGAGGTGAGAAAGGTTTGAACTAGCACCAGGACAATGGTATGGCATGATGGGACCCAGATATCAGGAGTATAGATTTGGCAATGGATGTTGGCATGGAATACTATACTTCTGTCCTCACTAAGTACAAGACCCCTTCTGTATTGTCATCAATTCCCATTCCTTCTCCCTTGATCCCCAAATCATCCCCTACTCATCATTCCTTACTCATGTGTGAACTCTGTTGGAGCTAAGACCCCAACACCCTTCTTTCTCTGCCCATGTTCCCCTCTTCCCACTGATCTCCCAACTACCAAGAAGATAACCCTTCAGTTAGTGGGGAGAGGGGAGTTAGTGTAGCCTGAACCAGATGAGCCTTCTAGGGAGAGGCCATGGGCATTCATTACACCTGGGCACATTCTGAAGTCAGAGAGTCCATAGCTGAACAAGAATACTCATTCAGATGGTACCCAACCCATTAAAAGCAGTCCCCTCCTCCCACTTTTCTAATGCCATCGAAAGTCTGGGCACTGCATCCCCTTCAGGGCCTGTCCTCTCCCACCATCCCCCTACTCTCCTGCCTGCCAACCTAGGGCCTAGACTAATCATCACCCTCTTCCCCCGGCTCCTCATTCCCCTCCTAGGGGCCCTTCCCCTCTTAGAACAGCCAATCTCATTCACTTATAAATAGAAACTCTGTCCCGACATGTGTCTGGCAGTGACACTGATCATCTCTGAGAGATGAGGTTGAGTGGTCTGGGGCTATGTCGGCTTATCTGTCCACCAGGCTTCCTGTCCATCTGTTTGCCTGTCTGCCACCTGTCTGCCTGCCCATCCATCTGGTTTCCACCTAAGGAACCCTGCAGCCCTGGAGAAGTATGGGCTTGAGCTCACCCAGCCATGTTTCCCCTCCTCAAGTCATACTTGTCTCTGTTCCAGGACCAGAGCTAGGCCCCTGCCCCAAGTAGCCGAGACAGAAATAGAATCAAGGTGAGGAAGGCAAAGTATTTCCTAGACCCTCAGCTCTGTTCTTTGCCTTTCACCAGACTTCCCCTCACCCTAGCCCAGACACCAGACAAATGGGCTTAGAAAAGGGGGAGCAGAGTCCAGGAGAAAAGAAAAAATTCAGGCCCCAAATATCATCACTCTCTCTTCATTGCTTATAGCCTCTGCTGGTGATGGCTGCTATTCATTCCTATAGCAGCAGTTACTCTGACAGTCCCTTCCTCTCCATCTGCCCATTCCCCCTTTTCCTCCTACCCAATGCCCCAGGGGTCCAGTTACCCAAAGATCTGTATAGGCCCTGCCTTCTCAGGACATTGCCTTGTATTCATTGGGTACCTGTTCATTTATGTACATGTGGTTACCCCAGGTAGAAGGTAAGCTGCCTGAGTGCACAGAATGGACACTCAACTCCTAAGCTCCTCACGCACACGCACTCCTTGACTCTCTTTCTCTTTGCTGGCTGTCTCCTCTGCCAGGAAGGCTTTCCTTTCTCATTTTATATCTTGGCTTACTTCCAAACTCAAATCCCGCCTTTTACAAGACATCTTTCTCAGTTCTCCCTCCACCCCTCACCGAGCAACTCTCCTCAGAAAATACTTTCCATTTTCACTGTTTCGATACCAACATATCTTTTATGTGCAGATACATGCAAGTTGTCTTCCCCCATTAGAATGTGAGCTACTTGAAGGCAGGGATCATGTTTTTGCCTTTATTTTGCCAGGGCCAGGGCACATAGCAAAGCACTTAATAAATGCTTGTTGACTGACTGACTTGACAGTGTCACTGATTCCCAGAGAGTCAAGGGGAAAGACGAGGGGAGCCTGGGAAGGGAGGAATGCAGGCAGGGCCAGGCTTGGATAAAGCAATCTAACAAGGGGAGGGTTTAGGTCATGGGGACAGAGAAGGGGATGGAAGGAATAGCAGTTCTTCAATAGCATGTCAAAGCAAGGGTAGAAAGAACAGGGTGGATGGGCTGGGTACTTTATAATGATAGGGAATGAATGTGTGGACTTCGACTGGGACAAAAAAAACCAAGATAAAAGGAAATTCTTGGGCATAGGGGAGGGAAGAGGAGACCCAAGGGGACTGGCTTCTTTTCCTGGGGCCAAGATTATATGGTACCCTATTACAGAAAGCATAGGATCAGAGGAATTATCTCTATAAAGAGGCTAATCTAACTCCCTCAGTTTATCAGTGAGGAAATTGAGACTTAGAAAGGTGATATGGCCTGCCCTTGGTCACAGAGACAATTCAAACCCCAGTCCTCCAACCTGAAATTTGGTGCTTTTTCCCACTTATACCAAGCTGCTTCACAATAAAGCAGCTGAAATACTCTATCTACTTCCTCTCCCTCAGAGCTATTCTCTCTCTTTCCTCCCCCCAAACTAATAGGACAAAAGATTTAGAGCTAGAAGGAACCTTAGGAACCATGTAGTCCAACCCATTTATTTTACAGATGAGGAAACTGAGACCCCAGAGGTGATATATCTCGCCCAAGATTACCTAGCTAGTAACAGAGTGACTCCAGAGTCAGTGTTCTTTCTACTACATTCTGTTGCCTCCCGAGGAGGGTAAGGTCCTTTCTTACTTAGATTTCAGATATCCATGAACAAAAAATAGACTGTAGACCACAGTTTAAAAAAACAAGTGTTCCCCAGTTTCCAGCTCTGAGTCTGTCTTCTCTCTGTTTTTCTTTGTCTTTCCTAGTATCTATTGCAAATATCCATTTTTTCTCTGTTTCTTTGGACCTGTGTGTTTGTGCCTGCATTTCTGTCTGTCAGTATCTGTGTGTGTGTATGCTTCTCCACGTGTGGTTCTCATTCATTTTGTGCCTTTGCCTCTCCCTGTGTGAGTGTTTCCCAATCATTCTCTGTAGCCCCCATTCCTGGGTCTCTCCCTACTACTCCTTTTCACTTCCTTTCTCACCTTGTCTTAAGTAGGGCTGCTTAAGCTCCAGGGGCCAGATGGCAGGGGCCATTTATGCTGCAGTGACTATGATGAAACTGTAGCTGCTGCTGTTAGGACCTACCCAGAGATCTTCCTGCTTTCTACTTGCTGAAACCTTTTCAATTCTAAGCTTGAGGAGTCATGCAGCTGCTCTGCCTGGCCTGCCCAAGGGACTCCTTCCCACCTCTGCCCCTGTTTGCACTTCAGCAGCCAGGTGTTGGTACAGTGTCAGGGCTCTAGTGAGAGGCCTGGCACTGCAGCCTCAGGAGAAACTCCTTTGTCATTCAGGATGGAAAGGAAGTCACTTAGGTCAGGCCACTGCCTCCATTAATGGTTCTTCCTTTCATTTCTTAATGAGATTGAGGGAGGGGAGGTGTTGCACCCAAACTCTGTCATTCCATTCCTCAGAGGTACAGAAGTCCTTCTGCACATCTACTTGAAATCTCTCCTCCTACTTGCATATTCTCTTATGCAATGCCATGCATGTTCATTTTAGTAGAGGAAAATGGTCATCACCAATAGGACCCAGTCCAAAGGACCTGCCCCCCCCCATCCTCACTTCATTTGTTCATTCCTTCACTTATGCAAAAACTATTTATTTAGGTACTCATTACATTGAAACTAGCCTCTCATATCACTGCACTGGCTTCTACATAACCCAGTAGTACTGGGGACCAAGTCAGGAAGGTGGAAGGCCATAAGTCCTCCTCAAGGCCAGGGGAGGAGAATGTGGAGGAGGAAAAACACATAGGAAGAAAAGAAGGGGAAGCATTTGGGAGGCTCACGGGTCCCTGCAGGAGTCTCCTGCTCTGCCCTCGAAGTCTCACGACCTACAAGGAGGGAAACGCAGGAAACACCCCCTTTCCACCCCCAGGTAAAGTAGGATAACCTCTTCCTGGCACTTAGGGAGTGGGTGCCCACGGGGTCATGACAACCTGGCAGAGTTCTGGATGTGTGTACATTCACCCACGAGGGCACATGCACCCAGACACAACACACCCACCGCCCGCATCACACTCTCTTTCCCACCCGCTGGCACAGCCACTGAGCACAAGCCTCCGTTACCAGTCAGGCCTGATTCCGTGTTTGCCCTTCCCCCATCCTTCTACTCCTTATACCTCGGCGCAGTGCACCGCGCCCCCCCCCCCCCCGCCCCAGCTCCCTAAAGGAGGGAGGAGGCATCTAGTTCCTCTTATCCTAAAGAGACCGAAGCCTTGAGAACCGAATAGGGACAGGATGGGGCGGGGGGAGTAGGTGGAGTGGGTAGGGTATGGGGAGGAGAAAGCAGGAAGGGAAGTCGGGCATCAAGACACATACTGGAGTTGGAATGATACAGGAAGGAGTGATGTGAGGGCATCAGATTTAGGGCAGAGGATCCCAACCTTCCTAGTGGCATGGACCCCTGTGGCAGTCTGATGGAGCCTTCAGATCCCTGCACAGAGGGATGTTTTTAAAAGCATAAAATAAAATGCATAAGATAACAAAGGAAACCAATTCTATTGAAGATGTAATTTCCCCCCCGTCCAAGTTCTCGGAACCCCTGAAATCTACCCATGGAACCTAGATTGATAATCCCTGATTTAGGGTAAGACTACCCCAAAAAAGCCAGGAGGAATTTAGGAGAGGAACTGGGAACCAAGCTGGAGGGCTGCCCTAAGGGGACAGGATTGAGGGGGTGCGAAAGAGACAGGTTGGGGAGGCATCGAGAGAATAGGGACAAGGAGGGGAGAGCACTGAGGAGCCGACCGACTGCGGCGCGGGGTGCCAGACTTCTGTCCCCATTCATAATTGAATTGATATTCCAGTAGAAGCAGAGGCTTCCGTCTCTAACTAGGGCGGTGTTGATTTTGGGTCTGTGGCGCTGTCCCGTTTCCTTCCCGAGCCCAATCATTGCTTGTCTCGATTGTCCCGATCCGACGTTCCCCCTCCCCCTTCCCTTTTTTTCCCGATGGTGCGCCCCTAGGTTCTCCCACTCAACCTAGACCCGGCAGCGTCTGGATGAGAGGCCCAGGGTCCAGCAGAGGCTCATTCTACTTCCCTGCCCTCCGCTCCGCTTCCTCCTCCTTTCCCCAGCTATGCTTGCCAGCCCCGCCTGACCCCTCCCCCTTCCACCTTCTCTGCCGCCTGGCACCCGGGGACTGCGGGACTGCGGCTGGCTCGGGGTCTCGATTCTCCTTCCAAGCCGTCTGCGGTGTCTGCGTCACCACCAGCGAGGCGCCCGACGCCCGGGACACGGCCAACCCCCTCCCCAATCTCGGCCCCATGGTCCCTTCCTCTTTACTCACTACCTCTACTCTTCTCACTATCTACCCCTCAACTTTTTGGACATCAAAGTCACAGACAGGGATACGGACCCCAATCAACTTTGCATTTTCTGGGTCCCCCTCCCCAACCTCCACCTCCACCTCACCAGGCCTACAGCTGCTCTGCTGATATAAAAAGGGGCCATGTAGCAAACCATCACCCACAACCACCACCACGGCATCCAAACCCATAGGACACAGGGCTTCAGCCAAGAAAGGTCAAACATAGGCCAACAAGGTCAAAATTCATTCGGGCTGTCGTTGGCCATGGGCAAGGAAGGCAAGGGAATGACAGTCCAGCTGCCTTGGAGCTAGAGTCCTGATACCATGTTAAACGTATTACCAGAGTATCCTTCTCCTATCAAGGCCTCCAGGAAACCAGGGAAGGGAAACTCTTCAGCAGAAATATTTATTAAATAAGCAAGTGAGTTAACTAGAAAGACTACTCATAAAGTGAAGCACCCTTCAGCAACCCTCACTCCCTTTCCAAACAATAAGCCAAGAAAGACATTTGGGAAGGCCAATGAAAGCTTTGCTCGCTTCCAACATTCCTGATCATGGGGATCCCTGAGAGGAGAAACCATATTTTTCTCCATGCCTACCCCTGCTCACTCCTACATTACACACACACACACCACCACCACCACCCCACCACCACCACCACCCCACCACCACCACCACCCTTCTCTTCCCCGATCCCCTATCCCCCACCCCGAGCAGGCTCTGAAATAGCTTTCAGAAAAGAGCCCTGCATAAATGAAAAGATCACTAAAAGGGAGATACATTCTGAGTAAATGGAAAATCAATAAAAATTCAGGAATGAAACACCTCCTCCCTCACAGCAGAGAAATGGGGCACAACTAGGAAGAATA